GTCCAACTGTAAAATACTGTTTGTGATATATGAACAAATGACTTTTTGATTTACCTTATTTTCCATATTTCTCAACCTGCGTCTATCGTACTCACATCTTTTTTTATGATCTCGTATGTAACCAGTCTGCGGGAAATGTCACAAAAATAGCTTAATAAACAATATTTTTGGGCTAATATTTTAAAATTATAAATATTCCATCATCGTAAAAAGTTGTGTGGTTTCATAAAACAACGGAAATTTTCAAAGGTTGGAGGAGGGAGAGGGATGGGGTGGGGTAATCTGAGGATAAGCAACATTACAATTTTACATTTTGAAAATTATTTTTGTGAGTGAACCATCACTTAAATATAACACATTTAACATATTTTTATAATCAAACCCTCAATCCCACTCCTCCCCCCTCCGTACTTTTAGTAAACACAAAACGTTTTGGTTTGAAAAGATTCCCGATAGCCCCCCAAAGAATAAATGTTGTTATCTATAGATAGATCCCTGTTGGGTTGTCTAAAAATACAGCCCTAGAATAGACCAATCCCGAATTCGCTTCACTGATCAAGAAACAAAGGTTTGAAGTCGAGACTAAACTTGATTCTTTTATTCATCAAGCTCAACCTCGACAGTGACCAGTCAAGCAAATTCGGGATTGCTCTATTCATAACAACCAGGGAAATATGCGATACAAAGCTCTGTAAATATTAGTCTTAGTACCTCGGTTGGCGATGGAACATCATCTACGTCCATTGCGCAAAAATATAGCTTTTAATTTTTCGTTTAGGATACTAACTAGATCAAAAGAAAATAACAAAATATGAAACAATTTAGTTATTCTGGAGTAAAATCATAACACTAGAAACGTTGGAAAATAATACCACCAGGGCAAAGATAATTAACGATGAAAATGGAATTTGCTCAGGGAATGACTGTTTTGAGCGTCAGTAATGCGAATAGGACATTCGCCGCCCTTCCAAGACCGTCATCCTTGAGCGGGAATGAGTATAATGATGCCTTTAATATATAAATACACTTAAAACAATAGAAGACAATAGACAGTTATTCGAGGCACACTCCATTTATGTAAATAGTTTCTCGCACGCACTGACTAATGTATATCGCAAGACGTGCAAGCAAGGGGCAACATCAACAATAGAGCACCAAATGAGATGCAAATTGCTAGAACATGACTTGAACATAGAATATCTGACAAAAGCAAAATTATTTAATAGATACATCAAGTTTGAGAAGTTTGGGGAACCAAGGGAGAAAGCACTGCACAAACCTTATGTTTGTGAGGCGACGAATTGCTAGAACACGACTTGAACATAGAATATCTGCCAAAAGCAAAATTATTTAATAAATCGATACATCAAGTTTGAGAAGTTTGGGGAACCAAGGGAGAAAGCACTGCACAAACCTGATGTTTGTGAGGCGAAGCACGTGTAATAAACTGTACACTATGGAACTTCATGAAAACAGCGTATAAAGATTTTAGGGAACCGAGGGGAAAAAGCACAAATTACGCACCCTCAGGCCAAGCGTTTACTATTAAATATAAGCTTGCAGTACTTTTGCTAGCTGTGTCTGCGGCAACCACAATTATATGGTAGGATATGTACATGTTGTTCAAATAATGAAGAGAACATGGACAAGAATGAACTAAAAACGTTAGAATCAAAACCCCTCTGGTCACAGTTCTTTTGCTTTCGGTAGAGAAGCAAGCAAAGCGACGTTCGAACTATTTGCAGCTTTGCACCTCATACACGAATACTAGTTTGACCACATATAGAAATATCCTATCTATTAAGAATACACTACTCATGTCTTACCTCTTTATCTTGATCCACAAACTGCTATCTAGAAATAAGGCACTTGAGGATCTTGCTTTAACTGATTTCCGTGAATTTCCATTCTCGTACCCAGAGCCTGCGTTTTATCAATTTTTTGGCGCATGCGCAATTTTTCGTAAGTGAAATATAATCGCAAATTAAAACACGTGCTGCGAGTTTTTTGAATGGCTTAAAAAAGTCCTTCATATTCAATAGGCATTTTGTCCAATCGTGATGGAAAGTCAAAATTCMAGTAAGCAAAAACAAGATTTAGTTCATTTGTGCCATTATAGAGTGCAAATATTATACCCGTGAAGTCCTTCATATTCAATAGGCATTTTGTCCAATCGTGATGGAAAGTCAAAATTCAAGTAAGCAAAAACAAGATTTAGTTCATTTGTGCCATTATATTATCAAAAGCCAAACAAAAGGAGGCGTCAATCTTTGAACACTAGAGAGCTTCAGTTTACCTGAACGAGTTGACAGTAACGTTTGACTTTTAGTGAGTGCGTAACACATGCCTCCAAAACGTCCATTTAGGAAGCCAAAATAGGACTACAAGGAAGAAAAACTAATGGAACAATGTATTCTAAAGTCTACAAGATATTCTACAAAGTGGGCTTCTATTTTATGCCAAATCCAAATAGACCCCTTTCGAATTCCAAATTACCGCTGTGTTCCTTGATTACAGACTCATTTGCACAGGGTAAGCCTCGAGTTTGTGCAGAATATTCACGTGTTCCAGTCAAGGTCCGTCGAGTTTCAAAGTGTTTGTATTGTTGAAGTTGTGAATTCTTTACTTTACCGTTGGTATTTGTGAATATTTAGACACTGGTGCGAAGCTAACCCTGTGCAAATGAGTCTGTAATCAAGGAACACAGCGGTAATTTGGAATTCGAAACTGGTCTAATGCGAGATATTAAGTTTTTTCGCTCACCCATTGGTATTAATACGCTTAACAAAGTCTTACCAGAGTTATGCAGTGAAGCTGGGCTAAAACGCAAAACATCTCACTGCTTAAGGATAACTTGTGCCACTCGATTCTTTCAAAGTCATGCAGAAGAAACATTAATTCAGGCCATCGGTATAATGCTCTATTAACTTATGAGAATTTGAGTAAAGAGCAGCAAATTAATGCTAGTAATTTGCTAGGCCCACCAGCTTTAAGTACGACTGATACTGCGGTCAGTGCAACGCTGAAAACGCATACTACTTCTACTATAAATACTACTTCTACTAAGAATGAAGAAATAAGTGGATTCGGATTCTGGATTTCGTAAATTTTGAATTGGCAGATGATTTGCTTAGCAGCTTTCCATTACCAAATATAACAGGTAATCAGCAGTTATGTCAGGTTCAGTCTTTAATAACTTTACCTTCAATTTCGAAAAGTGATTCTTTAGTTTTTTCGTTAACCAGATACAAAACAATTAATGCAACATCAGAGGGTATTACTGGGCTCTGTCTTTAATAACTTCAATTTTGGAAAATGATTGTTTAGTGTTTTGCTATATTGTACGTTTTTTCTCCATGTTGTTTGTGTGTGGAAATAAACATTACTTTACATAACATAATTTTTGTTGCATATGATTTTTTATAGAATAAGTAAAAAAATCTTTATGTAAAGACACGTGTCTTTATAGGTTGCTATCAATAGACGTCACTTCCGGTAATAGCTCTTTTTTGACGGCTTGTAGAATCCTGGAGGTTGTTTTGATCTCTTGTTTTCTGGTTTGATG